GTGTCGCATGACCCCAGAAAGGTTTATTGATTTTTGTGAATTTAAAATTATTTTTTTTGTTGTATAGAGAAAAGCTGCTCAAAGATAGAGCCACACTTAAAAGTTAAAATAAAGCATGGGAGCGAAGCATCCCAAAAGCCAAGTTAAGAATATTTTGATCGAATGAACTTTAAAAATTTGTTCTGTATAATCAACGTTTGCTTACCTAAACGTTAAACAAAAAGTGCCAGAAACAATTCATCTTTTTTTTTGCGATACAAGTTAAAACTTCTAATGTCACTTGTCAAAAAAAAATTATTTTTGTAAGATTTTTAAATTTTATAAAATACTTTGAAAAAAAATTATTATTCAATGCGTTAAGAGTTAATTTTAGGAGTTGGAATTTTTTAAATACGGTTCAAGTACTGACTCAAAAACTAAATTAAAACCAGTAATTGTGCTGGGTTTTTTTCAGCCAAAAAAGAATACCGAAAAATTTAGTTGAACCATCCGAACCTAGTTCAATTTATTACCTCCAATTAAAAAATATCCATCTTCTATTTTTCTAAAGTTGGGCAGATTATTCCAGTGAGTTATATTCAAATGTAGAATTCTGACTCTGAGTGACTAATTAGGTCTGAGCTAATCTTGCTTAATGGGGGTATATATATTATTCCAGTTCTATATATATATATATATATATATACATATGCAGCATATCTCTTATCTTGGATTAGCATAATAGGGATTACAACGACATAGAAGAATCTCATTTAGTAATTCATGGCAGAAATAATCTGGTAAATGTTAACATCACATAAAGATCATTTCTAATTTTTAAGGAAATAGAAGCCTTTTAATCTTGAATAAATAAGATTAACAAAATAATAGTTTGTCCATTAAAAAAGTTTTAAGAACCAAACTTCAAGATCACCTCAATTTAAAGGAACAGACCGGCTATGTAAGGTAGCTAAACTCAGTATGCAGTGTTATGGACACATTTTTTAGGATCTGTAAATCCTGAGTTTGAGCGCAAAATCTACGTTCAAAATCGTACTTTTGCGTTTTCAGAATTTAATTTAAATTTAAATTATTGAATAACGACGACAAAAAATGTAAACAAAATTCTACAGTAATTGGTTGTTTAGGAACAGATTGAGAAAATAAAAACTAACTCTTATCATCGAAAATAAGAAATCTTATTTAATTATTATTTTCTATAATCTCTCTTTAAACACAAAGATTTTCTGCAGATTTTCTGGAATTTTTATTAAAAAGACGACATTTGAAGAATTTGAAGAAATCTACGAACAAATTCATAGAAAATAAGAAATTCAATATAATGATGAAAAAGGAAATAATTAATTCTAACTTCGATTTATCGACAAATTTCTTTTAAGAAATATGTTCTATAACAACTAATCAGTGTACTATAGAATTTTCACTATATTTTTCGTCGTCGTTATTTAATAATTCTAAAAGGCCGATTCTAAAAACGAACCATCCCAATTTCATAATTTTGAACGTCGACTTTTCGTTCAAACTCAGTAATTATAGATCGAGGAAACGTTTTATATGTCTAAAATTAATCCTAAAGAATTTGTCCACAACACTGCATACTCAGTTTAACAACCTTGCACAGCCGGTCTGTCCCTTTAAAGCGTAACTTAAACGATTCACAACAATACCCGGCTTGAAACTGTTTACACTTTATAATTTCTGCTGCACAAATCTGCAAGTCAGTTTTACAGCAAATAAATATAAAAAGTAGACAACGACACCATTATAAATTTAACTTATTTAATTTTTGAATTTGAAAATACGTTTACAGTCCCCTTGAGAGTGCTTGATTGCCGATTCCTTTTTTTGCATGGATCTTTAGTACGTTAATTGATATGAATTTAGTAGATTTTTGTAATAGAGATCTTGATTTAGGTTTGTATACGATCTAGTTTAAGTTTAACCCATTTTGATATAAATTCAGTAAGTTTTGTTCTAAATCCAGCACATGTAAATATATATATTTTCAAGATTTTCTTAGAAATACACACATAGATACAGAATCTTGTAAACATCATAAACTTTCTAATTATTTTTTAAATTCAAGAATTTTCAAAGAAGATTAAAAATTCTGTATTGATGAAATGGTGATGCTCCAAACTTCATAGAGTAAATAATAAATATAAAACGAGGAGAGGGGGCTGTTTAAAAGTGGGATATTAAAACATTTTAAAGAGTTGGACATAAACAATATTTAAAAAAAAAGAAGTTTCATAATCTGTACTTTACAACCCTGTATGCTTTATATTGAGTTAACTGTGGTGGAACTACAGGGTTAACCAAAAAGAATGAGAATTCAGAGACGACTGTTCGGAATTTATACTGTCAGTTTATAATTATGATTCCGTGGAACTGGAAACTTTTTTCTTTCTGTGACAAATCATTGAACAAGCCATTGCAGGTCACTTTCAAGGGAAAAGACTTAATTTAAACGTGGGAAAGTCATATTGGAAGGTTTCAATTCATCTTTATATTATCATAGCTTGTGGGTAGCTCTGTACTAAATTAAATATCAGAATTGAACACTATCTTTGTTCAGAAGTATCAAGTTGCTGCAGTACTGTCACATCAATACAGTTTCAAGGGGAAATAATGAAAAACATCAAATAGGGGATCAGTAGGTCAAAACAGAAGATCATTAGATTAAAACAGAGAATCATTAGATTAAAACCGGTGATCATTAGATTAAAACAGAAGATCTTTAGATTAAAACAGAAGATTATTAGATAAAAGCAGAAGATCATGAGAGTAAAACCGAAGATCATTAACTCAAAACAGAACATCAATAGATTAAAACAGATGATTATTAGATAAAAACAGAAGATTTTTAGGTCCAAACAGGAGAATGTTGAGTCAGAATATTGGAATTTTTCATTTGGTCAAAACAGGACGTGGTCAGTTAGGGTGAAACATTTTCATGAAAACCAAATTAAGTAGTAAATTCAATCAGCACTTACAAAAAGCATTTTTCGAAAAAATTAAAACTTACTATCGCAAATATCTATTTGTGGCTGAAACCCCGGTTTTACAAGTGATTTTTCATTTTTTCCAAATATGTCGATATGGGTATATAAAGATCTGTACTGCAAAACCTAATTCAACGCAGCAAAGGGTTTGTAAAAATATTTAAAAACGTGCGTTCTCTAGGAGAATTAAAGTGGAAAAAATTGGGGAAGTCACAAAATCAGCTGTTTTTCCTAGTTTTTCAGTTAGAACTTGGCCATTTTTCATTATTTTGTAAAACGATTTTTTTTCCGTTGAATATGGCTTGGAAAGACGGATGTTTTGTTGAAAAAATCGACATATTTTAAGAAGAAACAAAAAACACTCTTACTTGCGTTTTTGTTATCACAAAAGACTATTTGCGATGGTCAATTTTCATTTTAGCGACAAATACCTTTTGTAAATGTTTTCTAGAATTAAAAAATACATTAGTGATTTCTACTTGAAAATGATTCCTCTAAAATTTGTGAAAAATCTTCACCCTTAGTGATCATGTCAGAACAGAAAATCATTAGATCAAGACAAAAGATCATCAGGTCAAAACAAGGAGAAGGGCATACAAAAAATATCTAGGGTTTTATACGAGATTAATGTTAAATATTTCAAATATTCATTAACTGCATGCCTTCACCGTTAACGGTTGTTTAGTTGGTCAACGAGAGCTGTACTCCTATTTAAGGAACGGTTTTGGGGGTTAAATTTTAAAAATACAGAACTTTACATTCAAAAACCCATGTCTTTAAATCAATTTAAAACATGCAAATTAATGAAACTAACTGATATTTTTAATAGTGTTCGTTTTTTTAATGTTCATAATGTTATATGAAAAGTTGTATTTCAAATTATCAATAAGAGAATATACATTTGCAATGAAAAATGTAGAATAAGATAGAAACAAAGTTTGTTACAACGGTAAGTTATAATACTGAATGTAACTCAATCAACGGTTTGATGAAACTTGAATTTAGATTTATTGAATAATCAAGTTAAATATTGGATTTTAGGAACATACTGGTTCAGATATAGGTTCAATCAATCCGGTTTAAAAAATAATGTTTTACAATATATTTTATTTAAAAATTACGAAAATATTTGTAAAAAATTACAGGCCCATAGCTAGGAATTTCTATAAGAGGGGGCACAAAAATTATAAATATCATAAATAGCTAACTAAGGGGCGCGCTGCAGGCGAAATTTTTTGGCATACAAAACTCAATAAGGATAAAAATTAATGAAAAACTATATTTTACCGTATCACACATTATAGTTTATTAGAGAGATATTTGGCCTGTTTTCATTCCCTTAAACGNGAAGCTATTAGTTGCTATTGAATAGTAGAGAAGCTATTAGTTGCTATTGAATAATTGAGAAGCTATTAGTTGCTATTGAATAGTTGAGAAGCTATTAGTTGCTATTGAATAGTTGAGAAGCTATTGATTGCTATTGAATAATTGAGAAGCTATTGGTTGCTATTGACCAATTGAGAAGCTATTAGTTGCTATTGTATAATTGAGAAGCTCTTAGTTGCTATTGAATAGTTGAGAAGCTATTAGTTGCTTTTGAATAATTGAGAAGCTATTAGTTGCTATTGAACAATTGAGAATTAATGGAGGATTATTTGAAATTACATCAAATTATGCAACAGTCCCTTAAATAACAATGGATCCCTATTTCTTTGTATCCCCTGTGCAGTTAAGAATGATGGATTAGTGAAGGATTTAAAGTGGACGGGAAAGGATCAGTTTTAAGCTGAAACAATTCCATTCACTTTAACAATTATATTTATTTTGATCTTCACAATTGTATTTGAGAATTTTTAAGAAAATAGAATTTAGTTTTTCCTTTGTTGAATTTTCTTTACAACTAAATTAAATTTTTAATGAGATTCCCATTTAATTTGATTTTGGACAAGGCGAGCCTAATTGATTGATTGAAGAAGATTTGATGGAAAACGGTTGAAGGTTTGTCTATGTTTGGTGACCATGGCTCCGGACTCCTTCTACGGTGTAGAGAGGTGGAGAGGAACACACCGGAGCCGGGAGGTTTTAATCTCTCAGTTCTCTTAAACCTTGAGTCGGGACGGAGTATTTATCCTCAGTCTTTATCTATACCTGGAGCTAGGAGCATCTATCCTTAACCTGATCTATACCCGGAGCTAGAGATATTCAGAACTAACCTATACCTGGAGCTAGGGATATTCAGACCTAACCTATACCTGGAGCTAGGGATATTCAGAACTAACCTTTACCTGGAGCTAAGGATATTCAGACCTAACCTATACCTAGAGCTAGAAACCGTACCATATCACATAAAGCGATAGATACTAACAGTGATGAACTAATAACCGAAAATCTACCAAAATCCAAAAATAAATTGTGAATAAATTTTCAAGTGAAGAATGGTTTAAAACTATAGATGGTTGTTCACTCTTACATCAACCCGTATTCTAATATGCTAGGAAAATATATTCAATTTAAAAACTATTTTAGAATTTAAAAGCTTTTAAAGTGCAAAGATGGCAATGTACGATTCACAATGGTATCCTTAAAAGCTTTGTTTTGTTTAATGACTTATGAATTAAACATTAATGTTTATAAATTTTACAACTGATTATTTTCAACCGTGGGTTTACTACTTTCCATGAAGCCACTTGAAATTCCGTTAACAGTTTCTTTAATGTAAAACTGCGAAAAAAGTCCTTGCTAATCAATTGATTTGCTGTATTTTACATCTGAAATACTTGGTTGTTCTCTACTTCTAAAAATTTGAAAATGTCAAGTTAATTATCAAATATTTCGATATCAGGTATATTTATGTTAAAAACAACATAAAAAGGTTTAAATATTTGTTTTCTTGATTTTACAAAGAATTCAATCTGCTGCCACTTTTCGAGACAAAATTAATTTTATTACTTTGTGCAAAATTGAGACTGATACATTAGACTTTAACTTGACACAGACGGACTGTTAGACGAAAACCGAACACTTTGTTAAAAATATCGAACTTAACGAAAGCATTTCAAAATTACAAACATTTTATTCATAACTTCGAACAAAGATTTTGTAATTTCGTTAGGCGTTGCAGCACGCAGGTCGCAGGGGTGTTTTTGCAATTCATGATTAAAAAATCGGCAATTTTGAAAAATTGCGAAAATTTAAGATTTGCAACCCCCCCCCCTCCGCCCCACGTATTTTGCTGTCCTAAATGTTCTGAAATATCCGGCTGATGAACTACTCAGATTAGTTTCATTACCTGCCCGGTTCTCTGCAAACATACTTTCACAATTTACAATTCAAAAACGTCAACTTTTTCATGGAGGGTAAAAACCAGAGCAGTTTTGAGCCTTGCCGTCAAGATGTGTCAGATATAATTAAACTATTTGACAAGGTGACATACATACATAAAGGATAAATAATTTTTAACAAATGTATCTAGTTTACTGGAAGAGATTGTAAATATAAAGGATAAATAATTTTTTACAAATTTATCTAGTTTACTGGAAGAGATTGTAAATATAAAGGCTAAATAATTTTTTAACAATTGTATCTAGTTTACTGGAAGAGATTGTAAATATAAAGACTAAATAATTTTTTAACAAATTTATCTAGTTTACTTGAAGAGATTGTAAATACCAAACGTCGTCATTGATTTCAACATTATACTTTTTTAAGAGACTGGATCGTATTTTAAAGTGATCTACCATTAAAAGAGGGGCATTGCCCGATACACAACGGTACCCTTCATAAACCTTTATCTGATCAATAATGTGGTAGCTATATTGTCCCTAACAGTGTATAATTTTGATAATTGCAGTAGAAAGTAGAAAGTGTGTATAAAAAACGATTTCCAAAATGTAATTACTGTTTTTTTTTATAAATTTAAATTTAAACAAAAATCTGCATTCCTGCGATAATTTGAGCGCACAATAAGGCAATCCACATTTTGAAAATACCAGATGTATCATTGATATCGACGTATCGAGAATTATTCCTGTAAATAAAGGTTTATTAATAAATTCCGGGGCAAATACTTTAAGAAGACGACATTTTTAGTGGAAAACATTGTAGTTTAATTGGTCTTACTCTTCAATACTGGATTACTTGAAATATTTCCCCCCCCCCCTTAACAGATTAAATCATTTAAAATTGAAAAGAATGCAGAAAGGTATTTCCATATGAACTATTAATTACTGAAATTACAAATATATCCTCCTGAAAGAATTTGTTTTCATATTTGTTTTGACAACATGTTGACCGCAGAGAATTTGTTACAAAATGACATGTCCCTCCCTTCCTGACATTATTATCCCTCCTTGCTTCACATTATTACCCGCCGCATTTTCCCTCCTTGCTTCAAATTATTACCCGCGTTTCCTGTATCAGTCCCTGCTTCACATCATTGCCCACCTCCTGTATCCCTACCATCTTCATATTATACCCCCCTCCTGTATCCCTCTCACCTTGTTATTATTGCCCGCCTTAATTCTGTATTCCCTTTAACCTTCACATTATTACCCTTCTCCTCTCCCTTCTTCATGTTTTTGCCCGCCTCCTAAATCACTCCCTCCTAAGTCCTATCTCTTATTATTTTTATGATATATCCCTCCCTATTTCACTTGAACGCAACCCCCCCCTCCCCCGGGGCCCCCCTTCATATTCTATTCTTTTCTGTCCTTTTTTCTGTCTTGGATAGATCTCTCCCTACCCTCCTCTCTTCCTCCCTTCCCCCCTATCCCCCCATCTTGTGCATGTCATCTCCTTGTTAAGATCATTAGCATGCTATCCCATGCAGATCGTAAACTAGAGAAACAATGGGAAAACAATATCATTATCGGTAGGAGTTTTTCTTACAGATTTTAAGCTCATGCATAAATGTTTATCGTGTACAAATATCAAAATTGTAAAAACAACCCTTTTCCTCTCCGTTTTTCATTTTTATGTTAAATTCAGTATAAAAATATCGACTAAGAGAATGTTCGGAAAAGGTCAGTTGTTAAATGTTAGTATTAAACTAAACATTTGAGTTGAATATTTTGTCTAATAAGTAGGCGGGGTCTATAACCCTCTTCTTCTGCAGAACCTTACTCAAGGCTATAATACAGCACAATCCAGGTAAACATTAATTCAGTCCATTCCAGGTAAACATTAATTCAGTCCATTCCATGTAAACTTTAGTCCAACCCATTCCAGGTAAATTTTAGTTCAGTCCATTCCAGGTAAATTTTAGTCCAGCCCATTCCAAGTAAATTTTAGTTCAGCCCATTCCAGGTAAACTTTAGTTCAGCCCATTCCAGGTAAACTTTAGTTCAGCCCATTCCAGGTAAACCTTCCTTCAGCCCCTTCCAGGTAAATTCTAGTTCAGCCCGTTCCAGGTAAATTTTTAGTTCAGCCCGTTACTTTAAGCTTTATTCCAACCCATTCCAGGTAAATTTTTAGTTCAGCCCGTTCCTTTAAGCTTTAGTCCAGCCCATTCCAGGTAAATTTTAGTTCAGTCCATTCCAGGTAAATTTTAGTCCAGCCCATTCCAGGTAAACTTTAGTTCAGCCCATTCCAGGTAAATTTTAGTTTAGCTCATTCCATGTAAACTTTAGTTTAGCCCATTCCAGGTAAACATTCCTTCCGCCATTACAGAAAAGCGTTATGGCAGCCAATTTCAAGATTTTTCATATTTTTTGTTTTCAATGGTGTTTTTTCAAAATTAAAACAATATATTTATAGAATATTTATAGAAGCTGCATTTCAGGTCAAACAGATTTGAATCTGACTTTTCATTTCTTACAAAATATTATAATTAATATAATCTTTTTGAATTTTTCCAAGTTTAATTTTCTTTAAATGGAAAGTTTCCCTTTTCTGAAATTAGTCCCAGATGGGCGGTAGAAATCCCATTTATTAGTATAATTGTAGAATTATACTAGACTAGAAACAGCTAGAAGCTACTTATTTCTAATCGGTGAGCATCTATTAGATACTTTACTGTGCAGTTAAGATTAAAGCTTTGTCAGTGTAAACTACTCACAAGTCAAAAGGTTAAATTCCGAATTTAAAATTTTCGATAAAAATCTTCTATGCCTTGTTCTTCATTTTTCAAATTGTGTCTTTGCCTAATTAAGTAAAGTGGTCAACAAAATAAAGTAGACGATGTAAATTATATTTTATTTGCTCTTTAGAAGTAAATTTATATGTTCTGGGTTTTCATGTGGCATCAAAAAATTTAATTCTAATGGCCACTGTATCTCTGCATTACAGATATCTGACTTGAGGAAATATATAAAGCTTTTTATCCGGCTAGGGGGGAGTATTGATAATCGATCTTTTATTTGGAAGGAAAAGTTACTGATGTAACTTTTATTGTACGGTCTATATAGTTATGAGAAAATTACTCTGTCTTGTATAGAACAGTAAACTTAAAGGATCAACTTATCAAATCATAGCTGATGTTTCTTTAGAAAATAGTTGGAACACTGAAGCGTTAAATTTGAAAATGTTTTATTATTATTCAGATTTTGAAATGTTTTTTGCACCTTTTTCGAATCGTTTAAATATAGATATAGAAGATTGAATAAAGGGATAAAATTGTCTAGACTTCAAGCTCTTCATTCTACACTTTACAGGGTGTACCAGATTTATAGACTCTGTGACCTTCACGCTACAGGGTGTACCAGATTTAAAGACTTCATAGAATTTGAAACTTACAAGGTGTCCAAGAACTCTAGGCTCTAGTATATACACTCTAAAGGGTGTCCTAGAACGTTAGATTCTAGGACTTTACTATACAGGGTGTCATATAAACTTAAAGATTCTAGAGCGTATGCTCTTCAGGGATATCTATACTTTAGGATCTACTGTCTACAGGGTTTCTTAGAACTCTAGACACTAGGATTTACACACTAAAGGGTGTCTTAGAACCTCAGACTCTATGGCATAAACTTGACAGGGTGTCCTAGATTGCTAGACTCTAGGATATAAACTCTACAGAGTGTCCTAGAACTCTGAACTCTAAGACATATTCACTCTACAGGGTGTCCTAAAACTCTAGATTCTAGGATATACACTCTACAGAGTGTCCTAGAACTCTGAACTCTAAGATATATACACTCTGCAGGGTGTCCTAGAACTCTAGATTCTAGGATATAAACTCTACAGGGTGTCCTAGAACTTTTGCTTTCGATAATCTTTCTTGTAAACTTATGACAATTTTGCCTGTAATGGCATGCAAGATTGCAAAAAAACCTCTGAAAAAACGTAGAATTAAATTAGGTCGTAAAAATAAAGAAAAATTCAAATACATGCTCTCTTAAGCACGTACAAATATTCTAACTGCATATGTAGATATATAATTTAATCTGTTCCCTTACGGACAAAATGTTTTAAGTTTTCTCGTCACATTGATTGTAATATTTTCGTAGGGATATAATTAGAATCAAAACTAATTTTATTCAAGATTAAAACTTAGAGTCTAAAACAACAAAGAGAGTTATGCAGATCTGTTTCCATAATCTTACCTAATCTGTCTACAGTCTGCCTGAATCAGATTTTTTTTTCATTTTTCAATTGCAAATTTAAATTGCATAAAGATATCGATAATTCTACATCATAATTTGTTAAAAAACTATATTCAATATCATAAGATGTCTTTATATGTCATGATAAACTTGTTTCTTATGATGAATTTCATATCACTATGTGTTTATTATGATGCATTACCAAAATTATGATGTTTTCTTTTCATATCACGAGATAGCATTGCTATAGAAATATCATAGCAAACTATCTTTACGAAAGTAAAACTGTATTTTTTTCAGCTGATTCGTTATCTAGCGTTCCTTGAAAATATCAACCAATTTACGGTAAAAGTAATTTTCATTAAAGAGAGTCTGACATCTTTGATCAGTCAAAGGTTTTAAGGGTACCGTTGTGAATTAGATATTCACCTCTTTAAATGGAAGGTCACTTGAAATTTTGCCTTTAGTCATTTTAAGATCAAAAAGTGTTTCCTCTTGATATTTTGTGGTTAAATCTGCAGGTTTAGGTTTAAACTAGAATCTGCAGGTATAGGTTTAAACTAGAATCTGCAGGTATAGGTTTAAACTAGAATCTGCAGGTATAGGTTTAAACTAGAATCTGCAGGTATAGGTTTAAACTAGAATCTGCAGGTATAGGTTTAAACTAGAATCTGCAGGTATAGGTTTAAACTAGAATCTGCAGGTATAGGTTTAAACTAGAATCTGTAGGTCTAGGTTTAAACTAGAATCTGTGTGAGGATGTGGGTTCATGTTGGCCAAGGAATGAATTAGACCATTAACATTTATTCCCCCGGAATCTCCCTCTTTTAAATTGAATTTATTGGGCAGGGTTAGGAGCTGGACACTCCTTCACGTTTAACCATTGGTAATTCTTTAATCTAGGAATCATAATACAGAGAGACCCATAAAACTTTTGGAATTGACCTCAGATTATAAATTTACTTCTTGGTCAGCTTCATTTCTTAATTCGAACTCGAAATGATTTGAACTTTTATATGATTCTGAAACATATATTTTTTTGCTGAAGCCAAATATTGAAAGCATGGGTACCAATCATTAAAATCATGTTAAAATGTTTGACACGTTGATCTTTACAGTAACTATATTCATTTAGGTGTCTCAATTCCTCCTTTATACAAAAATATCTTATTCTGTGGAATATATAANTGTATCACAGTATCACAATCTATTTGCTTCACATGTTATTTATTGCAAATGGACACAATATCCCATCGGATTAAACTCACAAAAGAAATAAATTGAAAAGTTTTCATATTCAAATTCAACCTGCCGGGGCCGGGGCCGAACCTATGCAAATTCTAAATTGAAGTTTCATCTCATTCAACAAATCAGCTAGAAGGGGAAAACGATGTCTTTTAAACAGACATTATAAAAGCAACTTATTATGGTGAACTGATATTTTACGTTATCAAGTTTAGGTATTAACATAATAAAAAATCTTACAAAACCTTAAAATGCTTTTACTGTACATAAAGAAAATTGATTAATATTTCTTAAAACAGTGGAAAAAACCTTAAATTTTAAGTTAAGTTAAAAGATCAAGTTGAATTTATATTATTTAATTTTTTGTTCAGTATGCCTGGTCCTGCAGCCTATGCCTACCCGTGGCAATCAGCCGCTATGCAGGTCAATCAGCTGTCGTCAGCCGTTGCACAGCTGACTTCACAATCTCAGCTGTCTTCGGCGGTGGCACAGTTAACATCACAATCTCATCTGTCGTCAGCGGTGGCACAGCTAACATCACAATCTCATCTGTCGTCAGCTGTTGCACAGATGACGTCCCAGGCACACCTTGTGAGTACGCCCCAGTTGGTGTCTTCTAAGCTTGGCTCTTCAGCTGTTTGTTCAACAGCTGTTTCATCATCTGTTAGTGGCGGACCAATACCAGCTACTGTAACTAGCTCACCAGGTGATACATAGCTCAAACTTAGATAGTTAGTTAATGAGATGGTTAGATGGTTATATGGCCAGATGGTTTGCTGGTTAGATAGTTAGATGGTTAGATGGTTAGATTGTTAGATGGTTAGATGTTAGATGGTTAGATGGTTAGATGGTTAGATGGTTAGATGGTTAGATGGTTAGATGGTTAGATGGCCAGATCGTTAGATGGTTAGATGGTTAAATGGTTAGATGGTTAGATGGTTAGATGGTTAGACGGTTAGATGGTTAGATGGTTATAATAATCAGATGGTTAGATGGTTAGATGGATAGATTGTTGGATGGTTAGATGTTTAGATGGTTAGATGGTTAGATGGTTAGATGGTTAGATGGTTAGATGGTAGATGGCCAGATGGTTAGATGGTTAGATGGTTAGTTGGTTTGATGGTTAGATGGTTAGATGGTTAGACGGTTAGACGGTTAGATGATTAGATGATTAGATGGTTAGATGGTTAGATGGATAGATTATTAGATGGTTATATGGTTAGATGGTTAGATGGTTAGATGGTTAGATGGTTAGATGCTTAGATGGTTAGATAGTTAGATAGTTAGATAATTAGATGGTTAGATGGTTAGATGGTTAGATGGTTAGATGGTTAGATGGTTAGATAGTTAGATGGTTAGATGAATAAATGGTTAGATGGTTAGATAGTAAGATAGTTAGATGGTTATGTAGTTAGATAGTTATATAGTAAGCTAGTGAGCTAGTTAGATAGATAGTAAGTTTGTTAGTTATATGGTTAGATAGTTAGATAGATAGTAAGTTTGTTAGTTAGATGTTTAGATAGTTAGACTTGTTTGATAGAAACCTAAAGTTTGTTAAACAACAAGTTTGGTAGAACATGCAATACTATAGAATATAGGATATAAAATATAGACACNGGGGGGGGGGGGGGGGTAAGCACTACTTTAAAGAAGTAATAGAAAAAATAGATTACCACTATTTGATATTTTATTCTATCACAGTTTCAATCTATTATCCTCAATTTTGTTCTGTTTGCTAGACTTTTACTTTTTTCAATGCCTCATACATAAATCTATTTACAACATTTATAATCTATTTATTACATAAGTCTAATCAGTTTACTGCACGACTTCTTATCCATTTTCCATACTTGTAATCTATGTATCACAGTATCACAATCTATTTGCTTCACATGTTATTTATTTTCCATACTTGTAATCTATGTATCACAGTATCACAATCTATTTGCTTCACATGTTATCCATTTTCCATGCTTGTAATCTATGTATCACAGTATCACAATCTATTTGCATCACATGTTATTTATTTTCCATACTTTTAATCTATTTATTATACCTGTAATTTCTATGCACTATACTTTTTATTTGATTCTTCAATTTTGTTTTGTTTCGTCTAATTATCCATATGGTTGGTTAAGTCTCAAAACCTTCATCTTTTTCTGCTCCTTTCCTACTTCTTACAATTTCTTGTTCTTATGTGCTTTCATTTCTCAACTTGAAGTATGGTATATGACTCAAATCATGAAAGCAACAGCAATAAAGATAATGAAAAGGAAAGCAGAAAGAAAGTAAACAATGAGGAGAGAAAAGAACAATAATATGAAAACCAAATAAAAAAATGACAACAAAATGGAAAAGAAAAAAGTAAATGAAAAAATTTTAAATTTAAAAACAGAAAGGGAAGCAAATGTGAAGCAAGTAAAATCGATTGAAGTAAAAAAAAAATTAAATCGGAATTTAACTTTTTTTAATGAAACTGTTTGGCCATCGGTAAAAACATCAAAAAACAAGATAGAATTGTGACAAATAAAAGCAGAATAAAGTGCTGGAATACAATGACTAAATAACCGTAAAATCTGATTTAAATCTAGAGTGCTAGGGGAGGAGAGGGGAGGTTTGATTTGAAAGTTAAGATTCTCGGATGCAAAAAAAAACTTAAAATCAATTAACTAAAAAAATAAATAGTTTTCTTCATTTTTTTTAAAATTCATAACTTCTCTATTTGCTTCACATGTTATCCATTTTTCATACTTGTAATCTATGTATCACAATAAGGGCAAAAAGACAGATATGCAAATGGACACAATATCCCATCGGATTAAACTCACAAAAGAAATAAATTGAAAAGTTTTCATATTCAAATTCAACCTGCCGGGGCCGGGGCCGTTCTCTCTGATTTTTGGCATGCATGCCTGAATTGTGATCTAGTTTTTCAATCAAAAACAAAGTGGGGGAAAAATAACTTTTCCCTTAATTTTTCCCGCATTTTTCAGACATTTTTTCAAAAACTTTGTGTTAGGTCCATTTGGGGTGTCTAAAGTCATCAACATTGGGTCGGGAAACTCAATTCTGGATTTCATAATGCATTTCTTCCTCTCCTTATACCATTTACCCCCCTTTTCCCGCATTTTCCCTCTCCTGAAGGCCAAAGAGGCCTACTGACTTTATTACTATAGAGATTTCTCTCTGATTTTTTTCATGGAGACCTAAATGTTAATGACTTTAGACACCCCACATGGACCTAACACAAAGTTTTTGAAAAAATGTCTGAAAAATTCGGGAAAAACCTTGTTGCACCAACTAGTCCTGTTGATTGTCTGCTTCATTAACCCAATGTCTGTCCGGTACAGTACAAACTGGGACCAGAAAGGTTGACCCGGCACGGAAATTCAAATGTACTAACCAAATATCTTTACTAGTAAGTTATTTAAACAACTTGTAAAGTAAAATGGGTCTGTATACACTGCACAATTGCTGTGCCTCATGTTTATATTGGACTATTTAAATTCACAGCTTATGTCTAAAAGTCGACATCCTATTCCAGAGTTTCTGTTTCTCACTGTACAGCTAAAGAATCCATTATATAGGCGAATTACAAACATAAATAATGTTTTTAAGATTCGATGTTTTAGTTAAAAATCGTTTTTACAAACCAATATCATTTTTATGAGAAAGAATATAAAAAACTTTTCCCCAAGCATCCATGAAAAGGATTTTGTTTGAACACCGGATGGGAAAAAGTTGAAAATCTGTTAAAAAGGTTTCGAAAGCCAAATGCAATCCATTTCTAAGGATTTTCTATTCTATTCTTTCCTTTCCTAGATTTTATAAATTGGCAAATGTATGATGCCTAACTCCGAAACATTACACTGCAGTTATACATTTTGGTCATCAAGTAGAAATGTCAAAATACACAATACAGGACGAAATAAAAAGATTTGTTTGACATGGAATATTTGACGTTTGACAAAGGGGTTTTACATTCAGTCAGGAAAAAATAAATGAAAATTTTAATTTATTCTCAGTTGAAACTTGAGAAAAAAAGAGTGGGCGAAGAATGAATAAGCTAAAGTATGAATTGAATTAAAATTAATATAAAAAAATTATTTTTTTTATGTTTTAGGAGAATTCACGCTAGATTCAAAAGATTCCAGGTAAATTTATTAAATAAAAATATAAGAAAATTCTGAAATATTTTATTATTCTGGAAAACAATGAATCTCACTTTAAAATGATTATGTTTTTAGTAACTATCCCTCCTCTCCTTGTGAATCTAACAGTTCTATGATTGAAGAAATAAACATACAGTACCTTAAAGAGCTTCAGGTCAGCATTGATTATTATTAAATATTTTATTATGATTGCAAGTAAATAAATTCAATAAAGAAATAGCATTGGAAAAAAATATTTGATTAGTTTTGATATAAAACGTATACCGTATCAAAAATGTTGTAAAGTTAAATGTCATATCAAAATCATAGCAAAACTCTTGATCTCTCTTTTTTAGTCGGAGAACTTAACTTTACACTGATGGTAAAATCAGATATTAGAATTTCCCTAAAGAAGAAGATAAAATCTTTCTTTTGTTTGAACAAATGAAAAGTTGAGGAAATGGGAAATATCGATTTTCTGAGAAGAAACTTCAAGGATTTTTAAAATTTCCGTTTTCTATTTTTTCTCTTTTCCTGGATTGGGGTTGTGTTCTAGGAAGTATAGAAAGCTTGATGACAAATCTGATATTTCTAAGAGATCAGTAATCAATGCTAACCGGTCCCTTTCCTTACAAACATCCTAAAAAATATATATTCTGTATGTTTTATTAGATTGTACAGTTTTACCTAACCGCACAGTACCTCATCCACTTGAGCCCAAAGTTTAAAAGAGTATCGTTGAACGAAACTCTCGAGTTTCCGTTCTCGGGTTTTAATGGATAAAAATAATGGATAAGAAAAATATTGATATTGATCACAAAACTGTTTAATCCCATTCGTACAATCCGGGTTTCAAAACTGGGTTTTATAACGATACCTTGTCCTAAGTTTTGGGCTCTGAATTCAGTCATAAAACCGGGTAATCGATACTGGGTTTCAATTTAAAACTCTGTCTAAAGTTTCGGGTTCCCCCCTATATCTGTATATATTTGAGGCTGAGGATAATAACGAACCATGAAGAATAAAGAAGGAACAATATTCAGAAAAATATTACATTGTTACACGACGCGGAGGCTGCTTAATGCTTATCCCGGGTATATAAATCCAAAAAGAAGTCCCCACCCCCCCGGCCCCTCCATGGGCGGGGTACGGTCGACACTTTTCAATCTGTTCGTTAATAGTTAGAAATATTAACCGGACGGACGTTCGTTTATTAACCGAACTTCTTTCAGTCAGTTCATTTCGTTATTTTTTTATTTTTTGTCCTTTTTTCATGAACAGTTTATTTCGTTGACTAACGATTTACAAATAATCTTGTTTTCGTTCTTTAGCAGAATTTGTCGTCAATTTTCCAAAACTATCGTTCTGTAACAGAACGTTGCCCAGTCCTAACCCATATCTTTGGACATTTTGAGGGTTCATAAATTATCTCTAAAAGTCACCCTTTCTTCCTTGAATTCCTTGAATACTCGAGGTACCAACTCTAATTTTCTAATCCAAATAAAATCAAACTTTTTTTCGTTTAATAGTGATATTTTAAACTTCTGTTTGAATCAACTGATTCTAAATATCAAAAGGCTACGGCATCAGGTTGGAAAGATAATGGGATTAGAAAATTAGATTAGAAAGTTTGTGTTTAGTGTTGGTTTTATTACACAATGAACATTAAAGATAAATACATATAACTATAATGCACACTAACTTGCATCAAATAAACCTATCTCGGATCTCCTCACTACTTTTTTCATAAATCCCCCCCTTGTATCCATCTATCATGAAAGGGCCCCCTCCTTGTGAAAAGATTCATTAATCTTGGAACACTTTGAACTTTTAAAAATTCCTTCCGTTCTACCGAACTTTCTTTACTTTATAAATTAAATGTAAATTCATTGAATTTCGGCTGAATTTTGATGAGTTGAGACTGCTGTAAACTTTATTTAATGATGGTAAAAAGATAGATAGATAGAAGGATAGATAGATAGAGAGATAGATAGATAGAATGATAGATGGATAGATATTTGAAATGAATGGATGAAATTAAATCGACTGAAAAAAGTTTCTTCTGTTTCATGAATTTCAACAAAAATACAAGTTTTGAAAAGTTTCCCCTTAATTTATATTTATAAAGAAAACAAAAGTTAGTTTGAATTATTATTTTCAGGCCGAGAAAGAGACGATGGAATCCAATACAGAATCTAAATCACATGCGATAAAGCTTCTAGAAAATGGTAAGTTTATTTTCAATATATCTCTAGGATTGTCAACCGAAGGTGACGGTAAAATGTATGCGATATTGCTGGTACGACTTTGTGACCTCCTAGCGTCTCCAGTTTTGGTTTTATTAGAAAATGAAATTTATCCAGTTACATTTTAGAATTTATCCGGTTACATATTAGAATTTATCCATTTACATATTAGAATTTATCCGGTTACAATATTAGAATTTATCCGGTTACATATTAGAATTTATCCATTTACATATTAGAATTTATCCGGTTACATATTAGAATTTATCCGGTTACATATTAGAATTTATCCATTTACATATTAGAATTTATCCGGTTACAATATTAGAATTTATCCGGTTACATATTAGAATTTATCTGGTTACATATTAGAATTTATCCGGTTACATATTAGAATTTATCCGGTTACATATTAGAATTTATTCGGTTATATATATTAGAGATTCAAAGTATCTTTTTTTTAAAATAGCTTCAGTAATAGAAGTTAAGATTGAAAACATAAAAGATTTATTTTATTCCTTTATTTTAACTTGATCCAGGCGTGAAATTTCAGTTTTAATAATAAAAAAAATAGTTCAGCGTGAATTAAAATGTTAAGAGAAAAGTCAAGGAAAAGAAAAAAAACCTATACTTTCATTAAATTTAACTTTCTGTCCACGTTGAAAACTATTAGACTTGGAATTAATTAGAGAATCATTCATTTAGAAAATAAATTGTGTTAAAACGATTTCTTGCTTTTCACTTTTCAATATCATTTTAGTACTAACAAGTTGTAAAAAATAAATAAATAATATAAAAAAAAATACTGACAAAATTTAGAAAATACGTTATGAAATGTTATATTCAGATTTTTTACTTCAATTCTAAGCTTGTTAAACTATTGTGCATTATCTAAGGTTACAAAAAGTATTAGTGATTAACAAGGTAAACCAACATAAAAGTCAACCCGGTCACGAAATTTTATGCATAATTTTCACAGCTTTCTGGATCTTTCTGAATAAAACATTGTCACATCTTCTGTTATATAATAAAGCTCTTCACTCGTTTATATATTTGTACATATGTTACCTATGGCTGGCGACACAGTTGGACCAAATTATTTCTTTATGAAACCCATGGGATAGCATAGGCTAATTTCTTGTGGAAATTTTTTAAATTCCACGGGCAACGCCTCGATCTAAGCTAAACTCATGATTTAATACCAAGCGTAGGTAAACGGTGGAAGCAAACTAAGATTATAATAAAAACCTGAACACCGCCGGGCACTCCACCTTGTAACAACCATTGCAGGGGATAATCATCTCGTTAGTAAATATTTTAATTGATTAAGATTTCTAAATCTGTCGTAGGTGAAGGAAAAATTACAACGAAGCTGATGATGTCAGAAGGGGAGGAGGGGAAAAAATTTTCATCCCCACCCCTCTGTCTTGGTTTTTTTGTCTAAGAAAAAGTTTTGTTAAAATCTGAAAACACCCCTCGAATTAATCAAATTTAACCCTTTCTCCTGATATTGAAGAGAGAGAGAGAGACCCGGTAACAAATATTTTCAAGAATAAAGAAATCCCAATGAAATCCAAGCTGAATTCTAACTGTAACCACGATGAAAGCTAACATATACTATAGAATACAAATGGGAAAATTAATAAAAATTAAGAGAATTTTTGCCAAATTTTGCATACATAAAACGTTCTCGCAAGACAAATTTTATAACAAATTCTGCATAATTTATCAGAATATTTTGTATTTCAACTCTATCCATTTAAACTTCAAATTTAGTCTAACTAACCAAATTTTTGTTCAAAATTTATTAGACACAAAATCTGCCAATTTGAAATAACATGTCATATTTGAATGTAATATTGAAAATTATGGGTTTTTTAGCATTTATTTACGCTAGTTAACTATAGATATTAAATTAATCTGCAGATTAACAAAAGATCTAGATCAAGCATTGATCTAGATATTTACCAGACAAAAGTTTAATACTCATAATTTTGATCGCTTGGTTTTTGATATCCACAGTAAGCACTTCTGAATTCTACGCATAATCTGCTTAATATATCAGATGATTTGGATACCGCAATATCTCTGTTCTCTCATTGATTGAACGCAAAATTCCCTGGCTTCAGATTTGCTGGTTACAGGATATTTGAATTAAGAATAAATTTAGTTGTAGATATACAAAAGATCAAGATCAAGCATTGATCTCGAAATCCATAAAACAAGAGTTCCCAACTCAGAGCTAACCATGTGTATCGTGGAAAAATGTTTGTTTTTGTTTTTTAAATGTCATCAAATTACATCTGATTAAGCTATTCATCTTGATGATAAGCATATTCAATGGAATACAATTTAATGTGTATCTTAATGACTCTTATCATTAGTTTCTGAATCACCGTGTGGGTCATATTATACATAATACACAATACATTAAACATATATGATAAGTAGCATCTATTAAACATAAACTGGGTTACAGACAATGAATGAGACTTAATACATAGAAGACTGATGCGGATACATTTTATTCATGGTTTTCTGCAGTTTTTAACTTTTTCATGTCTATGCCACATAATAACCTTTTATTCAGAAATTTTATTAATTTTTTTTTAAGTTACACATATCAATATTTTCTCGCTATACACTTTATATCGTATTTGTATCCAAATCCTAATCTTACTGTCACTAAAATTATTCAGTTTTCTTAAAAATATATTTCACTTAAAACAATAGTGCATCATCAAGAGTTTTTAACTAAATGATTCTTGATTCTAAAATATTAAACACTTTTCAGAGTTGTTCTACCTGCTAATCAAAATTAAAGAAAATTAAAAGAATAGCAAAAGGTTTTTATATTTAAAAAACAAACTTATGATTTTAGAATTTTGATATTTTGATCTAGACATTTGACGTCTAATTAGAGTAATATGTAATTGCAAGGAACTTTTAACCCTTTGTGTTTTCGATCCTTGGCGTACATTGAGACGAACATATCTGTTTAGGATTTCTATAGGATGGAACAGGAAAACTATTTTGGATTTCTAGGATGTAACAGAAAAACTGTTTTGGATTCCTAGGCTGTAACAGGAAAAATTTTCTTTTCTGATACTCAAAACTAGAGTCATACATTTGTTCATGTGACCTTCTCCTTCTGTCTAGTTCAAAGTGATTTTAAAGGTTTTATAAGAGTCTATTCAAGTTTTATGATAGTCTAACAAACTAAAATTATTTAAAAGTAAAAGTTTTTATAGAGTGTGCTAATTAAAAGATTATGCATGTCGAAGGGATGAATTTGTCTCACTTGAAGCATAGTTTTATTATTGTAAATTTAATCTTTTGAATTTTTTTCAGAGATAGCCTGTATTCAGTCTGGAGGAAACAAAAATACAGGCTTTAGGTTAGTTTAATCAAAGTAGGGGTTTAACGAGAAAAAAATGTAAGATTTTAATTATATATGGGTTGGTATTTATAATTACTAAGCTTTTAGGGCGCTTTACGCCCATCTTCTTTCTAAACTTTTAATTGTGGCTTTATCTGTGAGCATCTTCTTTCTCTTTGTACAGTATAATTTTTTTTTAATTTGCAGATTTTATAATATTTTTTCGCGCATTATCAAAATTTTACAAAATTAAATAATTTAAGATAAAAATATTTTAAGATTACATATATAAAGTCTGATTGGCCAAAAACCTTCCCTGGGGCTACGTGAGGTCCCACACAAAATTTGGGCCTGACTGGTTTAGCCGTTTTGACGTTTATTGGATACAAACAGACAGACAGACAAGCTAAATTTATATATAGCTTTGGATAAAATACCGCTTCAATAATATGAAAATTGTAAAATGTCCAGAAATTGTTATCTAAAAGTCGTTAAAACACTCGTTTTTGGATCCTGTTTTTATTTTCATCAAACCTATGCATACATAAAATACAATGCCAAAAAACTATTATGCTGGATGTTGTTTTAGCCATTCTTTCTTCTAAATTTTGGTGGTCTAATATTTTTAACTTTATTTAAGCTAATGGGGTTTCCTATTGAATTAAAAACTGTAAAAGCTTGATGACGTCAAAACTCATTATTATGGACCTAGAAGCTTTCACCCTGCTCACACTTTTGAGTAATAATCTTTTTTTACAATTTAAACCTCATTTCAATTATTGTCGTCAAAATAGACAATTAACCTACAGTAATTTTATTATCTTATTCCTTATACTTATTGTTTGAAAGGGAAAAGGGGGGGGGCAAATTTTTTAAAATCCTAACACCCCCTGTGTTACAAAAAATACTACAATTACTAACAGTTCGAACTTATTTATTATTGATTGCTGCTGGTTTTTTTTTAATTCTGTAAGGAACTGCGTTTTTGCCACAAATTCTTATTTTCAAATCGCTTTATCTTTGCAACCTGATGGTGCAAAGCTTTGATATTTCAAACTATTATTATTTGATCTAAAATAATTCATAGCTTAAAACATCTATGGTCTAGCTCCGGTATTGAAATGCAAATATATAGTGATATTAATATCAGAGTTTGTGACAAAAACTGAATTCCGTTTAAAGAATATTTTCTAGGGAGCCTGTTAAATACTTTGATATTTACCGCGAGAGACCGATAAGACTAACAGTCCGAGCCCTCATACCTGTTAGAGAACATCCAAAGGTATGATTTACATTTTTTTCGGTCAAAAAGATCAGATTTGTGGGTTTTACATTTTTTCTTATTTTTAACAGAAATAGACATTCAGACTACTTTTTTCTACTTAAAAGAAAGTGTATAAAACTATTTTGATATTTGAAATGCTCTCAATATTAACCCATAATTTGCCACAACTCGTATATCATAGGCTCTTAAAAATTCCGGGACATTAGACTTTTAAGCAAGACCAAATAAATCATCATATTGTCTACCTTTTATATAAGACATATCTTACATCATCTATACACACATTGTCAATTTTATATCTTTTTTGTGACATCTTGTATATAATAATATACCTTATAGTCCTTAGTTATTTGACACCCTGTATATGATATAACTGGTTTATGTGACACCATCATACCATGTATATGATATAACTGGTTTATGTGACACCCTGTATATTATATAACTGGTTTATGTGACACCCTGTATATAATATAACTGGTTTATGTGACACCATCACACCACGTATATGATATAATTGGTTTATGTGACACCATGTATATGATATAATTGGTTTATGTGACACCCTGTATATGAAATAACTGGTTTATGTGACACCCTGTATATGATATAGCTGGTTTATTTGACACCCTGTATATAATATAACTGGTTTATGTGACACCTTGTAAGAGTAAGTGTTTAAATCACTCTCATGACAGTTTTGAACGTTGCTTACACTGCAAATCTGACACCAATATTTCACACACAGATAATGTAATCAATATTTCTTTATATATATATATTTATATGTTCCTGATACTATACCTAGATGGATATTAGCTAAAGTGCCCGGGGTTGCCCGTTGAATTTTAAAAACACGTTGAAAAAAATAGATCTCAAGTTTTGAAGGACAAAATTTCAATTGAAAAATAGATTTCATTTTTTTACCGGGATACCTATGGTTTCCTTAAAAAAATGTCAGCCAATTTGCTCCAGCCGTTTAAATAGCTATGGCGAACATATAAATATATAAATAATAAATATAAATATGAGCGAAGAGCTTTATCATATACATATAAAGGCTTTTAAAACACTTTTATTTCTGCCTCTTTCAATTGCTTTTTCCACGTCCATCAATATTTAAATAAAAAATACTTTTAAAAACAAAAATAAAGAAAAATATTCTAAAACAAAGTCTAACAAAAGAATTGAGTCTTTGCAACAAATCTGATTTTCTAATCACTATATCTCTTGGACCTTTAATATTTTAGATTATGAGTTCTGTTAGTTCAAATAATATTAGTTTGAAATATGAAAGGTTTACACGATAATGTTGCAAAGAATTAAAGATTATAAATTTTGAGTTTGTGGCAAATTCCTGTAGTTTTCTCCCTAACTGGTTGAACCCACTCCCCACCGTCATTTTCATTTAACTACTTTCAATATGTAAAGTTTGGAGCACATTTAAAACTTTAGGAAAATATTATGAAAACCCCGCCATTAGTTGATAGTGAATACAGTTTTATAGCTAAATATTCGCATAGATAGATAGACACATAATTCAAACTTTTTAATTAAAAAATTTGCACCAAAATCAATTAAAAAGTGGGGAAAGGGCAGTCTATTGTTATTATTATTATTATTATAATTATTATTATCATATTATTATCCATTGCTGACACAATCTGTTTAATTTAATGTTTACGCCATTTGTATATCCCTTAAAATAATATGCTTTTTATGCAATATGCATAGATTGTTATATTTGGTAAAAGAAAATTTTAAAGAATTTAGAAGTTGAGGAAAAGAGATTACCTATTTCTCATTTGTTGTTCTCTAAAGTTTGCCTACTGCCCTCTAGCTTTGCAAAAGTTTATAAAATAATTTTTCTACCTATCTCACTTTAACCGAACCCCAAAACGGCATCAAAAAGTTTGATTAAAATTTAAATTTCTATTACAGAAAATTTTAGTTCTTATGATCAAAGTTTTTATAGAAAAAATGAACACTATTTTATTTATTATCAAAAACATCGAAAAAAGTTATTTAATTTTTAAATTTTTAGAACATATTTGATTTTTTTACGGTAGCGAGTGCACTTAAATTTTTCAAGTAGGCAATTATAAATTTTTCTATCTAAAGTTATAGGAGTCAAGGAGCTATAAATATTTTTTTTCTTGATTATAGTGTACATGTATCATTTATAACTTGCTCTAGCGGCATAAAAGTCAGTCCAAATGCATCACGGCAAACTAAACTAAATTGCATGTAGGATAACTTCTTTTAAGAAAGATCTATCGAGAAGAGCAAAAAAGTTTTGCTTTCTCATACTTGAGCGTAAAATCAATGCTAGAAAAACTAGCAGGTCACAAAGTCGTACCAATGATGTAGATTTACTTTCTCCCTCTGTCTAGTTGCCGTGGCATTCCTTCAAGTTAACCGGGGTTTTCAATAAGTGGGTAAATTATATTGGTATTCTATATTTCATTATTTGTATAGTAACACCCTGGACTAACCAGGGCGAGATACATCCGGGCACTTCTATTTAATTTTAATCGTGTTTTGGTAAATAATTCAATAATCTTTTAATTTAAGGAGTTGTTTTATGCTTTGTTATTTAAACGCATAACAACAATGTTTGCGAATTTTTTATGTATAATAGGTTAAATTGTTATAGAAAGTCACAGCCAGCTGGGATATGGACCGTATTTTATGTTTAATATGTTAAATTGTTATAGAAAGTGACAGATAGCTGGGATTACGGACCGTATTTTTTTTTATGTTTAATAGGTTAAATTGTTATAGAAAGTCACAGCTAGCTGGGATACGAACCGTATTTTTCGATTCGAATGGTAAACCAATGAAAATTGATAAAAGTTGATAAAAACAATATTGTGTTTAGTTTAATTTTGTTGGTAAGCTGCTGGGTCCAAAGGGTAACTCCATGAAGAGGTTGCAGGAGGACACTATGACCAAGATGGCTGTGCTGGGTAGAGGAAGTATGAGGGATAAACAGAAGGAAGAAGATTTAAGATTATCAGCTGATCCTAAATATCAACATCTTCAAGAGGATTTACATGTTGAGATAACAGCCTTTGCTCCGCCTGCTGAAGCACACGCCAGGTAAACTTCAAGCTCAGGGATCTAAGTAGAGCTGGGAACTTTAGAATGGGATACCATTAATCCTGACTGCTTAATCCGAATATCTAATGTGGACACTTTTGATTTCTTGCTTAATCCACTCTTTTTTGGATAAAGTACAGAAAAATCAAAAACCGGTTTTTTAAAATTAAGAGTCCTTCCCGTTTCTGTATATATATCTTAAATGACGCGCAAAATTTCAAATATACCGGCTTCTGGTACGCGACAAGTACAAGATTAAGTTAGTCTCGAGATTAAGAAAAAGAGAGGATTAAGCATTAATCTCGATATCCAGTATTCTAAAGTTCCTTGCTCAGTGAATTTTTGTGCTGGATGCTATTAATCCCGATCACTCGATCTCGATAATTTGAGGATCCTATAATACCCTGCAGGATATCCTATAATAATTAGATTAATCTGCAAATTTACAAAAGATAAAGTTCAAGCATTAATCTCAATATTCTCAATACAGGGGTTCTCAGCTCTGGCTTCACAAAACATCTTTACTCTATTCCAATGTATAACGGGTCACCTTGTAATGGCAAATGATCTGAATGCATATTTTAGTATTCTATCAATTTTAAGGAAAAAATAATCGATGAAATGATTACGAAATAAACAATTATAAAGTGGCCTCGAACTCGAAGTGCAATGATGTAAGGATGTAATATGAATCCATATAGGATTGCGTATGCTCTGACGGAAGTTCGAAAATACTTGATCCCTGACAGTAATGACGAGATCAGACAAGAACAAATGCGGGAAATGGAAATAATCAGGAACAAAATTTATTCAAATAATCAAAACTGCTTCTTAAAATTGGCTGAAATCAATTTTAGATATCGTAATCATCATTCTCTTCCTGCTTAAGCTTTTTTAATTGGATCCTTTTAGAAATATACATTATTCATGATACCTTATTATTTTAACGTAGCATCACATTTCACCCTTTCTAACTCTTAAAGATGTTCCTAAGAGACAAATGTCTAAATCTGTCTTGGTTTTCATAGTGATTCAGAAAAACCGGAATTTTGAAAATTTTTAATACTTTGAACTAGGTTTTTCAGAAAGAGCTAATTTGCTGTGGAAAGGATTTGAGTCTTTACCACAATCTCAAAATTTTTAAACCCTATATCTTTGCAACCTTATGATGAAAACCTTTAATATTCTAAACTTAGATTATTTGATTTAACCTAATTCATAGTTTGGAATATTTGAGGTATTCGACATTGGGTTGCAAAGATAAAGTATTAGAAAATCAGAATTTGTGGCAAAGACTCAACTTCCTTTTCTGCGAACTTCTGCGTGAAATAGTGCTGAAATAAATTAACAATTTTTTTACCCTCCTCGCCCCCCCCCCTCTCCTCCTTCTCCGCCCTCGTGGTTTAAAGTCGGAATTCCATTTGCCAACTAACTGCTCCATCTACTAGAAGCATATTAGTTAATGAACTTTCAAATTGAAACCTGAGATAATATGTAAAGTTGAATGAAGTGAACAACTGTATAAATGTTTGCCTGACTCAGTACAAATGGAGAAGTGATAGAGAACCTAAATCAAACTTCAGCTCTACTGGGTCTCAGGACTCAGGGTCTACCATTCCAATCCTCTCATCAGGTACTTACTTAAACAATCAGCTCTACTGGGTCTCAGGACTCAGGGTCTTCCATTCCAATCCTCTCATCAGGTACTTATACAATCAGCTCTACTGGGTCTCAGGACTCAGGGTCTACCATTCCAATCCTCTCATCAGGTACTTACTTATACACTCAGCTCTACTGGGTCTCAGGACTCAGGGTCTGCCATTCCAATCCTCTCATCAGGTACTTATACAATCAGCTCTACTGGGTCTCAGGACTCAGGGTCTACCATTCCAAGCCTCTCATCAGGTATTTATACAAAAAAAACTAACCTTATTGGGTCCAAATTTTATTTTCTGAATTTTTTTATCCTTCACTAAAATCAGAAAATTTCCTATTTTGATAGTTTTATGATGAAAAAGTCAAAATGGAGGTTTGAAAAGCAATATATTAAAGCTAAAATTGCTTCTGGGGTGCGAATTGGCCTAAAGTCTAGTTTTAGAGTTAGGAATTAAAATCTATAAACATATCTGCTCAAGATTTCCAATTTAATGATGTTGTTTTCAAGATGCTTCGTTGTGGTTTTTGACCTTAATTCACAAATCCAATTTTAGATTTTCAACTTTTTACTTTAGATATCTTACAATCTTAAAATTAAAATGTTGGTTTTACTTAATTACACAATTGCTCTGGTATTAGAATAAAGAAATATATAAATCCAATTTTCTAAAAAGAGTATAGATAATAATATAAATGAAAACAAAAGGTTGCAAAAATAAATCAAATAACCATGATAAAACTTGCTTTATGGAAAAATATTTTTTTTGATAAAAAGATTTTTACTAAAAAAATAGATTGAACATGTAGGGCAAAGTTGTTATTATGCTTATAGGAAACAGTCAGTCCCCCCCCCCCAAAAAAAAATGCGAGACTTCCAGATTATCAAATAACAATGCTTTGCTGCAATAAAAAAGATTGTGTAAAAAAGTTACATTTTCTGATGTCCCTTGCTGAAAATCATATAAGTCGTGTTTAAGAATCTCTCAATTGTAATTTTTGACGAAACACCCTGTACATAAAACAACAATCATTGTCCTTTTTGTTTAATCGGCCAAATTCTCCCATAGTAAATTTTATACCACCGCCCTACAGTTGGGTAATTAAGGGGGTCAGGGGGGTAACTGGGTTTTGTACAAGTCAATACTCCTCTTGATACTCTATTGTGCGCCCTTTCTTCTTAAAGACAGCAACCTCCCGTGATCATTTCAGAAAAGGTCATATTTAGCTATTTTAAGAAGAAGTGGCGTGGGAGTCCACGAAGCGTTTATAAAAAAATCATTGTAATAACTTGTCTGTACAGGGTGGGCTGGGTCCTGTGATTACCGGTCTGCCTGTAGGCTCCACTAACGGGTACATGACTCCGTACATGGTGTCAGGAACAGGTTTAGCCATGGACTCAACACCAATTACTACACAACAAGACCAGTAAGTCATTTTTAAGTTGAGTTCAGATATATTCTTGAATTATTTAAGTTGAGTTGACTTTAAACTTAATTTGATTAAAAGTACTAAATGTATCCTGAAATTAAAAAAAAAGGAAATACCTAAAATATATACATACATTAAATTATAAATTATTTCAGGTTTTCTAATTCTACCTTGAAATCTAGCAGTTCTCTAGAAACATCAAAGCTTCGAGTTCAACCCTACACTAAACCATAATTATAAAATTATAAACAATCCAAACCTTACTCTTAGATTCATTAAGTATTCAATCCAAACTTTTAGCCCAGTTTTCTTTTGTGTTTAGGGTTCAATTCAATCCTTAACCTCAGATTCTTTATGTCAAAAGTATTCAATCCAAAATGTCTTAGTTTTATGTGTTTTTAGGGTCCAATCCAATCCTTAATCTCAGATTCTTGAAGTCAACAGTATTCAATCCAATTTTTAATCCTAGTTTTCTTTCCTTAGGGTCCACTCCCATCCAATCCTTTAACTTAGGTTTGTTAAGTCAACAGTATTCAATCCAAACTTAAATCTTAGTTTCCCCACAGGCTATGTTTACTATAGTCCGTAATCATCCTAAATTCATTAAGTCAACCCTTACTTTGTTGTTGATTGTTCCTGATATTGGTCCAGTCCAAACCTTAATCTTGGTATAATTGAGTTTACAACTTTGCATCAGGGTCCATTCAGAGCCTTAATCCTTGCATCCTTGAGTTTACAGTTACCAATCCAAACCATAATCTAAGTCCCAAAAAGGTCCTTAATATGATTTAACCCTGAAACGTTAGCTAACTCTATATATAAAGCTGAACCAACTCAATCAAAATTAAAATTAGCAGGAAAAAATGTCCATTCCATTGCGTTGATCTATCAAACAACATTTTTTTCTTAATTTACATGAAAACTATATTTTTATTTAAAGCTGTTTATTAATGGCGTGGTCTAAAAAGCCTGTACCCTGTACCATATTTTAGGTGAAATATGATCTCCAAAGTTATATATAACGCTGTAAATGACAAGGTCTTTATAATAAGCTACAAGTGAGGCTTTTGGGTCCCATGCAACTATTGCTCTATCCCGATAATAAATATATTAAGGTTAATGGATCTTAAAAGCTAATGATCTATATTTTGAAAATTCTCCTACTTTATTTTTAGATTCCAACTTACCCCCCCCCCCCATGGAAGAATTTCGTTATTGAACTTCAATTGTGCACATTGCATAGTGTAAACTGTACACGTAGATCTAGTTGTTTTTAAACCATATTTGTTGCAGTTCTGTGTCTGCCCATGTGATATCATGTTTTTACTGTAACGGCCTACTGTGCTTCAAACATACAGAATGTATTAAATGTATGCATGTCTATTTACCGTGGGTTAAATTTATATTATTATCATTGTGTATGTATACTGTATAGCCCATGCAGCCCACCTAATATCTGATTTTAGACATTTAACCTGCAGTGATATGTTCATCCTATTTGGACATTTTAAAGTGTGACCCCCCCCCCCTCTCCACCTTGATAAAGCTCAGAAATAAGATATCCAAACAATGTGTTCATTTTTCATACAGGGTTACCCACAATTAGGATAAGACTTTAAAGACGAACTAAAACTAAGGAATTGAGTCTTTGCCACAAACTGTAATTTTTTAAATCCCTATATCTTTGCAACCCAATGTTGTAGACCTTAGATATTTCAAACTATGACTTCTGTTATATCAAACAATTTTATTGTGAAATATCTGGTTGTAGAGATATAAAAATTAGAAAATTGGTATTTGTGACAAAGAGTCAATTTTTATAAAGAATTGCTTTGGTCTTCTGCCTTAAATACAGTCTAAATTAAATTAACTCCATATTGTCGTCTTTAAAATTTCATTTTTTGTGGAGACCACTGTATCTAAATGTATGTTTACCCCCCCCCCCCCTGGGTCTGTATGTATTGTATAAGCTATGTGTATAGTGGAACATGTCATATAAATGGTAATTCGGACCAAAATTATACAAGATTTGTAATGGAATATATTTCATTGTGAAATAAATAGAATATTTTCTCACTTAAACTATATTTTAGCAGCATGTTGTACAGTTTAAAACCATGAATTAATTGTAAATTATATGAGTAACAGAAACATCTAAAATTAAATTTAATTTTGAGTTATATTTTAATTATATTTTAATTATATTTTAATATTGTTGTTGATTTGTTAAAAAACTATTTAATGCATTCTAAGTTAATATTCTAACATCTCTTATGCACTAAACTAATGTTTTTTTTTTTTTAATTTTTTTTTAATTTATTGAACCCAAAGTTATCAATGCACAATAATCTTATGAAATTAAATGTCTGTTTATGAATATTATCATTGTAAATATTGATATCGAAAGTGCATGTATATATTGTAAATAACCGTAGTTTTATGTAGTAAACAATTGAAATAAAAAAGCTTGTTAAATATAAAGGTTTGACAACTAGATGAAGAGTCCGGTGTTGAGCGTGGAATAAAAAGAAACCTTGGACAAAAATGTTGAATAATTTAACCCTGCACCCACGGGAAACCCATGAGCTCCCGCCAGGAAATGTAAGCCAATTAGCTCCTGCCGTTTAGCCAGGTATAGTTTACATGTAAAGAAATTGAGTCTTGAGCCACAAAGTCTGCTTTTCTAAACCCCATATCTTTGGATTCTAATGTCGTAGACCTTATATATTTCAAATTATGAATTCTGTTAGATCAAATAATAAAAGTTTAAAATATAAAAGATTTACAAAATTGGGTTCCAGAGCTATAGGGATTATAAATGCAGAGTTTGTGGCAAAGACTCAATTCCTTTATAAATATCAACCTTTATCAAATAGAAAAGAATATAATGACCCACCTTCCTTCCGTCTCCTGCCGGCTTTTAAAAACATTTTGAACAAATTATAGATACAAAAAGTATCAGGTTTTCCTGATTTCCCAAAATAGAAAAATAAAAGACTTTGAAGCCAATTTTCTGACCTGTCAGTTTTATGATCCTTTCTCTAAGGTTACGTAAGTTACCACAAGAACTTTGGGTCCGATCGGTTCAGCCGTTTTAAAGTTTATTGTATACAAACCGACTAACAAACAAGTAGGCGGATACTAATTAATGTAATTTATGTAGATAAAGAAGTCCAAACTAATCTAGTTATTCAACATAAACATCTCCGTATTGATCATAAATCAAGGAATAAGGCTCACAACAAATCTTTTAAGATTTCAGCGTACCAAAGGCAGTTTGGTAAAACTTTGATCATTTTGAACAATAGTAAAAGTTCATATATCTACAACTTCTTTGGGCAAATTTAAATAATGCAAAACACATAAAGAAATCTGTTGTAAATCTTGTGAATATTTTGTGCAGTAAAGTTGTCATTAATTGACTTATAAAAAATCAGATATCTTTATTGTGCTTTTTTAACTTCAGCGATTTTTAAACAAATTTTTATACAGGAAAAATTTGATGTTTACTGTGCACGTAAGACATCCAAAAAAAAATTCACAAAATCTGAAAGTTAAAAATATTCCAAAACTGAAGGATCCAAAAGTTTATTTTTACGATAATTGCCCTATGCAAAATTTGTATTGGTTATTATCTGTTGAAAAATTAGCATAATCTAAAATTTTAAGGAATAAAATGTTTTTAACATTTTTGTAAATATGTAAACAACGATGAAGTGGAATGCCCAACACTAAAGAACGAGTAATAAAGGAGGAAGGGGGGGGGGGCGAAGTATCTACCCATATTATATCAAATTATATGAACCCCCCCCCTCCCCATCTCTAAATAAGTATCATGAAGTGAGAGAGAGGGAATATTAAATCTTCCAAATCCGTCGAAATTTGCAATCTCATAAATACATCCCAATTCACGTTCTATTGAATATTATAAAGTCCTCAATAGGTTTTGAACCTTGTATAGTACTCAATAGGTTTTCTATTGAATCTTATATAGCCCTCAATAGGTTTTCTATTGAATCTTATATAGCCCTCAATAGGTTTTCTATTGAATCTTATATAGTCCTCAATAGGTTTTCTTTTAAATCTTATATAACCCTCAATAGGTTTTCTATTGAATATCATATAGTCTTCAGTAGGTTTTCTATTGAATCTTATATAGTCCTCAATAGGCTTTCTATTTCCTTTACGGATGTTAAAATAGGTGTTAAACGGACTTCAATCACAATTTAAAGGGATGTTAAATGCAAAGATGGCAATGTTCTATTCACAACGGTACCCTTAAATGCATGATCTGTTCAAGAATGAATTATTTATCAATGTTTATAATTTTGAAAACTGAGGCCGAATTTAAAGAATTTGAGCCGCGGATTAAATTTAAGCTGTGGCCCAAATTTTGTTGTTTCCACTTGAATTTGTATTAAATGTTTTAAGATTTAAGCCGGCGCTCAATTTAAACCGGATTTTACGGGATTTGAGACGCGGCTTAAATTCATTAAATTCGGATACTGATTATTTACTTTTACCTAGACACACAAACATATTTTCCACTTTAATGTGATGTGATAAAGGTCTTAATCACCATTGTGAATCGGAAAATGAAATATCTACAAGGATATATTTTAGGGTATATGTCTTGAAGACATGAGAGGAATTGATTACTTGCCTCAAATCCTAAGTTTCTAATCTCTATCTTTGCCACCAAAAGGTGTAACTGTAAATGTTTGATATTTCTAACTTTCAATATTTTAAAAAAGCAATATCATGTTGCAAAGATATTTTTGGAATAGACAATTAGGGCTTTAAGCAAGTTCTCAGTTACTTTAAAGTAAATATTCCAAATTTCTCGAATCCTTTAGATCCAGGATTTTACTGTCTCTGTTTAGATGGACTGTTTACCCCCTAAACTAAGCTATATAGTGGATAGGTCAAATCCTCTTGTACTAGGCCGGGTATTGGTTGCGCTGGCACAATTAAAACCATGCCGGTAGGTTCGGGTGGTACTTGTCGCGCTTCACATAAGAGGTCGGTCCGGTTCGAATTCAAATTGACCCTGAGTCCACAGTGTTTAGGGTTAAATTTAGATCAATTTGGGGTTAATTTGTAGTATTAATTCTAAGTTTATTGAAAACTCCATACTTTAATGTTAAAATGCTTCTTAAAGAATGCATGATAAAAAAAACGAAAAAAGAAAGAAAAATCATATTTCTGACAGCTGGCCTGTATAACTAATCTAGAGTTGAAACATGTTTGAGTTAGAGGATGCAGGAATCATTAGTCCTGTATCTTGTTCCATCCTTATTCCCTGCAGTATACTTAGTAAAATTCATTCTCATTCTTACTTAATCTTACTCATCATATATATCCTCATTCTTACTTAATCTTACTCATCATACATCTTCATTCTTACTTAATCTTACTCATCATACATCTTCATTCTTACTTAATCTTAATCATCATACATCTTCATTCTTACTTAATCTTACTCATCATATATATCCTCATTCTTACTTAATCTTACTCATCATATATCTTCATTCTTACTTAATCTTACTCATCATATATATCCTCATTCTTACTTAATCTTACTCATCATACATCTTCATTCTTACTTAATCTTACTCATCATATATATCCTCATTCTTACTTAATCTTACTCATCATACATCTTCATTCTTACTTAATCTTACTCATCATACATCTTCAATCTTACTTAATCTTAGTCATCATACATCTTCATTCTTACTTAATCTTACTCATCATACTTCTTACTTAATCTTACTCATCATACTTTCTTACTTAATTTTACTCATCATACTTTCTTACTTAATCTTACTCATCATACTTTCTTACTTAATCTTTCTCATAATACATTTAACGACACTTTTGAAACAAATCAAAGTTTGGAATTCTTTCCTTTGCTTGTAATCTTACTTATCACATATGCTCAGAGACAACGTAAGATGAATTACCATAATATACATATATTTTGGAATAGGAAGGAACGGGGTCTGGGTTAAAATCTTAAAATATGAAATAAGAAGGGGTTCCCTAAAAAACTGGAATTTCAAAAAAACGTAGGTTAATGCAAAATTCAAAGTCGTAACCATTACTTTCGTATGAACTTTTTTTTGTTTTTGTTTATTAACTCTCATTAACTCTCATTAAAAAACATAATAATCTTTTTTTTAAATTGCATCATAACGTTTTGGGCTTAACAAATAAAGAGGTTATTAATTAGATTCCTCACGGTTTTGCAAAATAAAACAGTTCAAAAGTTAGATTCCCAAATTCTTTTCATAATCTCTTCTTTTTTTCTTTATACCTCCAATAGTTTTCATCAAATAGTGTGTAGTCTAAAGAATAAGAAAAGATAAATCTTCAGTAGCATACGTTACTATACATTTATAGTACTACTCTTTATCAATCTAAGTATATAATATGTCCGCCCAAGTATAGGCTATATGAATATCAAAGACATCTTGATAATAAATATACTGCAGGTTTAGGAGTAAACAACTTCGGATAGATAGCAATCCAACCAAATTCGGGGGAAATTTTTGTATCTTACGTTAAACATCTCATGGTTGTTAACACTGTAAACTAGACAGAAATAAAAGGTAAAATTCATCCGATATTACTGGTACAACTTTGTGAA